ACTGAACGAATGAATAATAATGCGACAGAATATGTATAAAGAGGGTACTGAGAAGTACTTTTCAGCAACCAACGCCCAAGTCCCTGTTGATTAATAGTAGACTGGTGCCCTTTATTCTGGTTCACGTTATTTTCACAGCTGCATTCACAGGCAAGAAAATAAAATCATTTTTTTTCTTTGTCAAGCGAAGTTTAGAAATTTATGATTTTTTGAGTCCAAGTGGAATTTTGTTATGAACAGAAACTGTCGAGGAAATTTTAAACGCAGAATTGATGTCATTGATTGATGCACATGGTACTAAATATTATTTAGGCAAAGTATTGGTAGAATGAACTCACCAGATAATTGGGTCCAATTTCCTCGAATTTTACAGATTGCAGACGAATGCAGGAGCAAAGGTTCACACGGGAATGGCTTGGAAGTCCACAAACCTGCAGCTGTTCACAGGTATATGAAAAAAATAGCCGAATAATATGATAAAACCCTGTAAGTGCAAAGGATTGAATAAATATAACTCCAGTTTGTGATTACATTCCAGATTTTTTAATTCCACTATCACCTAAAACACAGAAGCCTGGATTCCTCACAGTTTTTAAAAACAACTTAGCAGCTCATGTTCCATTCCAAATTTCTCTACTAAACCTACAGCATACTTTGGGACACCGAACTTTTGGCCATGAAACAAAACAGGATTCTCACGTATAGACAGACAGCGAAATCGACACTTTCAAAAAGGCAGATTGAAAAAAAAAAAAAAACCGCAGACCAGGCACAGACATTGCACTCGGGCATCATCCTCCCGAACAGCGAGTTGAAAGCGAAAATTTCCAATTTTTTGATATGACGAAGTTTTTCATTTTTTCACACCAAGAAGGAATCATTGCTCGAGTCACAGATATTCGAAGGAAAATATAGAGTCACCCTCGCGTTTTCATCGCACATTTCGTAGGATAAAAACAATCACAGGTTCGAAAGAAACAAGAACTATTGAGCCCTGAGAATGAAGGAAGCGAAATATCGTAGGCTTAGAATTGCTCGCTTCTCAAAACGATTGCTCTGCAGTTTGACCAAAACAAAATTGAGCAATCATCGGTTATTTCTAAATATCCCGGAAGGGGTGTCACGCTAACGCAAACATAAAAACCCTGCTGCGATTGTTCGGTTGATTACCGAATTTCTTCAGATCCTGTACTTCACGGGTTATCAACAGCATGCCGAGCTGTTTATCTCTGCACCAGATCTCTGTCCTACAGTGTACTCGTAATTCCAAAACAAAAAAGCGAAAGAACACGGCGATATAACGCATCTTGGAATCTCCGAAAAAAAAAGTTGCGAATGATTTCAAGGGCCAAAATCCCCCCAAAAAGAGAAACGGTGAGGTTAAAAAAAATTGCAAACCACGGCGATCTCACTCTTTGAGTTAGTATAGAGAGTCCCAGGCTTAAAAAAACAAAAACATTTCCCTTTTTCCCCCCCACGCGCAAAAAAAAAAAAAGAAAAATCCTGACCTAGCAGGGATTATAACAGGCAGCTCCTCTTTTCCGGTTTTAGTATTCTGAACACAACTTTTTTTCCCATTCTCGACGGAAAAGACAAGCAAATTTTTACAAGCAACAAATGTTCTCATAAAACCTGCATCATACTTAAAAAAAGCACACCTACAACGAAGAAAGTCTCACCGTCCAGAAATTATCCCCAACTGAACACCATCTGAAAAAAATCTACTAAAAAAACCAAGATAATTCACATAAAACAAGCAAAACGAGTAGCACCGAAACGGCTGGGGATTCATTTGGGAAAACTAGCATCGTATGTCCTGGTGGAATACATACTTGCTTCTTTCACGCGTAATGGAACTCAAACTTGGGCCAACAAATGTTTGTAACAGGTTCAACAAGAAACTAAAGTTTTCGGTGGTTTACTCTAAATTTTTCAACCTAACCATGTGTATGCAAGCATACGAAAAACTGTTGTCACATGAGTTTTGCTCATATTTTATTGACCAAATAATGTGATTTCAAGGGAATGTAAAAGAGAGTAGTGCATTTTAGATTGAAGCCATTCGGATAGTTTTGACAAGATGTGAGGCAGTAAGATATTGGGTGGTTTCCAGCATGCTCAAATATGATGACCTGAATATGTATGAATACGTAAAGAAAAATTCTTAGTCGTTTCTGCATCTTCCATTCCAGCTACGCTCACAGAGGTTCGAAAATTACTAATTTCAAAAAATTTGAGCCTTTCTGCTTCTTGAATCTGTATAAGCAGAAATTTCTGAAGAAAAAAAGAAGGTTGTTTTGATATTTTACTTTGAAATGCAAGTATAAATTTACCCCGGATAATGGACACTTCACAAAATTGAATTGAGCTACCTCCGATTTTTTGCTCCGTATAGTGAACTCTGCTTTGGAGAATAGACTGAATGAAAATTGATTTGTCTTTCAAAAAAATCGACATTGCTGCTGGACATACGACGACCAGCATTTCGTTAAAAGCGGTTTAATCTTTTTCAATATTTTCGATAATGTCGAGAGCTGCTTTATTTTTATTTCGAGTCTTTTTCATATTCTAGGTATTTTATAATACTTTACGCTGAACACAGTTTTTTCAGTGACATACAAATATTCATGGACGAAATTACCACGGAATCCGGAGCAGATTAGGCTTTCCATCATCCTAACATTTAAAACTGAAGGGAGTTTTCGGGAGTTCGGGACCGAATAGCCATTGGATATAACTTTGGATTACAGTACTTGGTTTGTTTGACTTTTTGAATAATCAACTTGGCTACCAAGAACGGATAAGGACCAGCAGTATCAAGGTGCCACTCTACAGCTGCAATCGTGACGCAATTGGGAGCCATCTTTAGACTTGAACTCGGCCCAAGTTTGAATCCCAGGAAAAAAATCAGGTGGAATTTCCTCATGATCCCGCAGAAAAAAAAAGGACGTGCTGCTGGTTGGTCCACGCTTATCTCAGACGGTCGCGACATCTGCGTCGGGTCCGAGAGTGGCCCGGAGGTAAGTCACTGCCCGGTGAACGTCCCAGTCGCAAACGGCCAGGGCCTGACGAGCAACCCGGAAATCTCCGCGGCCATGGACCCGGAGATTGTCTGCTTCTTGACGCAGAGCTAGCGACATCTTTCCCAGCTTGATGGCCTGATGCACGTCCCATTCCGTCGCGTTCAGCCACTCCAAACATTCTTCAGACGACGCCTACTGATGCATAAATTAGTTGCAGTTAACAGTGAATATACGTGGAATTGCTCTACAACGAATGTATCCGGGTTGTATAATTTTCCATGGGTCTATTACAGTAAAATCCCCATGGAACGGTTTGAAGGCCATGGAGTGATACGAAGAAATAAGACAAAACTGAAAATAACTTGCCTGGTTGTTAAGTACTTTTGCCATGATGCGAACCTCGTCCGATTGGGTGCCACAGACTTTCCCACGGGTCTTGGACGAGTCCGTCGAATCGTTGGAGTCTTGGCTGAAATCCAGGAACTCGTCTCTCGAGTCGGACCTCGCCAGTGGCGCCGTGAGACCACGCGTGGTCTCCTCGAACGGCGACAAGTCGCGGGACAATCTTTGCACCTTCCCATTCATGTTCGAGTGCTGCTCGTCTTCGTTGGACACCGAGTCTGGGAGTCGGTCCAAAGAGTCTAGTTCGGCAGCTATTTGTGACTCGAAGCTCTCGTCATGGCTGAGGAATCCGAAAATCGAATTAACTGCTTCCATCGAAAATAATACTTAAGAGACACTGAAAAAGCTCCAGTTATCATTTTAAGACAAAAAAAAAGTGACAGTCTAAAAGCCTTGTGACATTGTCACCGGGTCGCCCTTTGAATAAAAACCAGAAAACCCGAAATAGCATCACACGAACTTCTGATAATTATTCCGTTAAATAAAGCAAAGCGTGAAGGAGAAGACAGTACAGTAACGTACTATACAAAAGGTCCATCATAAATAACAAAACTCACGTATTGAAACTTCTCGTTGGCTTCACCGGCGCAACTTGGATTCCGCCCATTCCCAGACCTGTAAAAATAATTTTATAAACTTTAAACGCACAAAAAAGTATGCAATCATCAAATTTCCAAATAAGTAACCCAAAAATGGCCACTACGTGAAAATAAATTAACATTTCCTTGCTTTATTTATGGCGGGGAAAACATTTCATGAGGGTAGATGTACAGTATGCGACAGTCACAATTTTACTATGAATAGCAATTAAATCGAGTAATTTTAGCATTTAGGTTTCGTCCCATGGAAACAACGCAATTGCTGGAGCAGCATATGATGGTTGATAGAAATCTAATCGTATTTTTGTTAATAATGAAGGAAGTTTTTTTTTCAGATACAAGCAATAGATCGCAACTTTTTCGACTGTCTCCAGCGATTTGTATGAACTACAATACGCGCGATTCATCCACTATTTGAAATACTCTCAGCATATAGCAAACTGACTTGTTTTATTGCACACTGAGCTTTTGGACACCATTAATAATAACGGCTAAAAACCGCCTCTAACCTTGTATAACCAAGAACCTGGGGGAAACGTAAGACAACGGTCAAGGCGAAACGTTTACTCGAAGTTAGGAGGCGTGACTTCCATTTAGTCTTTTTTCCAACAACAGATGCCGAGCGAATTAGGCTAAGTCTAACGACAGAAAACGCTGATTCGTCACGAAAAATTTGTTCGAAATACAGCCTTTCAAATTGATTTTTGTACGTCCCATAATATGTTTATTAAAAATACTTATTATCGTCAACTAGATATTCGTAGAAGATGCTTACAGCTACTGTCTTCCAGCGGCATGACCAACGGATGTTTCCGTTGATGTCGCGGTTTGTCCTCCAGGACACTCAAAGTCGTCCTGGCGTCCCTTATTGGCACTGGCGGCGGAGCATCGTACATGCTGCCTATCCGCTCCGGTTTCGCGTCGAAATTTGAGTTGGTGATCCGCAGCGGCGCCGGTCGAGGCTTGCTCACAGACGAATAGGACGATGTCGACGACGAAGAACCGCTCCTGAAAAAAAATAAATAAAAAGATTAGAAGAGTTCTCTCAACACATTACTCTGGGCCACCCCCAAAGTTTCGTCACTTTCTCACGCTCACCTATCCAAGGTACGCAATCCTCCTGGAACGCCGAACGTCGACGCCGTCGTCGCATGCTTGTTTCCGCGGATCTTGGGCACCACAAAGGCAGCCCCGGTCCGTAGTCGCCGCAATGGATTGTCATCTTCTCGAGCGTCCCCATCATCCCCGTCCACGTCTGTGCCGCCCCTAGTTTTGCTACTGACCATCGAATCGTTGTTCGAAGTTCGCTCCATGTTGCGGCGTGGATGTACGACTCCAACGGCACTCGCGCTCGTCATCGTGGACGACGTCGTCGGTCCCGCATGGGATTTGAAGATCGAGCCCGACCGCTGTTCGACTAGTGCGTTGTATGCCTCCTTTGCGTCCTCCGACAGAGTTTCCTGATAGAGAATAAAATCAAGTTGAACGAAAAAAATCTTCGGCTTTCATAAGAAATGCACTTACAAATGGGATAGTTTTTGTTGTTGCAAAATTCATCAACAGTGAAAGGTTATAGAAAATATGATGATCAAAATTCCATTTAATTGATCCCAGAAAAATTGTGGAGGTGCCGGGGATTGAACCCGGGGCTTCTCACATGCAAAGCGAGCGCTCTACCACTGAGCTACACCCCCTCTTGATAATACACTTCAGGTATTTTTTACGTTATGGGTATGTACTGCACGAAAAAAACGCAGTACAGCAATATAAAATACTGAATACAGTACCTATCAATCTGCAGAATCGTTTCTCAACCTCAAGGCTATAAATGAACTTTTAAAAAGAGAAGAGTGTTGACTGAAATCAAAAATGAAGAAATAATGCTCGCAAGCACGAGTTGTCAACTATATTGGGTCTGTTCGTATAATAAGTTAACAATAAAAAATGGGGAGTTTTAATCCATCGGGCACTGAAAGAGTGATCGATAGATCACTTCGCTAAAAGGAATCATTCCATGTAAGCTTCCCCTATTGATATTGCTTGTAATCGGGCTGATCTGCACGTCACAGAACTCATAAAACGTGGAAAAAAGTATTCTCTTCTTTACTGCTTGTTATTAAGTTTTGAACGGGCTTATAAATTCGGTACAGTACATGGTTATTCCAATAATTATCAAGCATTAGGTTCGTTAAAAGTCCAAACCTTTGTTATGAAGTTACTTTAATCATACTTTCAGCTTTCAATTAGTTATGACATAACATTTGGTTAGATTCTTCTTCGATTAAGTCGGTTCGGTATAAAGTTGGCTCGCAATAAATGAAAACAATTCCACAAAGGCGGGGAAACAAAAACAAGGAGGTTATAGAAACTACCATTACAAGCTTCCCTTACAACACAGAAATTATGCAGGCTTCGCAAGCAACGGGATATGACTTCAATCGCTCACTTCGTCACATGACCGTGACAAGAAAACCTGACGGGTCATTAGAAATGTAACGATTGAACGCAAAACTTATACCTGTAAGTCATTGGTTGACCCGTTATTGCTCTGATGATGATGGTGGTGATGATGATGCTGCGACCGACCATTTGCCACTTGATTCTGGCTCTTCGCGGGAAACCCCGCGGGGAACTTGAAAGAGAATCCCTTTCCTTTTCGATTGCTCGGACTGACCCCAGGCGAGGGCGATGGTGACCCGTCAGATTCCAACATGGCGAGTTCCTGCATCGACCGACTCGCCAATTCCTTTGTCATCGTGATGGCGGATTCTAGCTTTTTATGATCAGAGCTTGAAATGGGTTTCACCGTGGCTTGCTGCTTTTTCTTCTCGGTGCCCATAACGCGGTTGTTTTCAAGCTCACGAAGCTCATTGCGGGCATTGTGAGCTTCATTGGGGGTTTCTGGTGGATGAGAACTGTCTACCGTGCCGGAAGATTCTTCGGGTCTTGCAGATACGGACGAGGCTTTTAGTGCCTTCATCACTTCATCCATCAGACTCACTCCGAGGTCAAACGATGACTGGAAAACAACGGTAGAACAATAAGTCATGCGACTCGATAAAAATGTGATGCAACAAAATTATGATTGTAAACACCGGAATCTCAAAATCAGGGTTGCGTACACCGTACAGATCCCAAGCATGGCTTTGCTCACAGCAGCAGTGCAAAACTTTCTGCTGCATTTAATCCGTACAGTAAAATTTATCTTACAACCCATTCCATTTAAAGAGGTTTTATCTGCCTATTTTTCGCGCTGAAACATTCACAATTTAAAAAAAATGGCAAATTTTGAAATGTATTCTCAAAAAAGAGGAATTTGTCAAACTGTCAAACTTTTAAAATGCATTACTAGTACTGTAATTTTGAGCCAGGACTTCGGAAAAAATTTCTGCTGAGTATAGAACTGAAACCTTCAAAATGAGACATTGCTCGTGAAGAGATCGTGCTGTACCCTGAACCGTAAAATTTTCTGCTTACGACTTTCACTAACAGCACAAAAAATCGAGGACGATTGAAAATTCAGCTTTTTCACGCATTCAAAAACTAAAATTTAAATTCCAGTGAAGAAGTGTCAAGACTTTCATTCACTCAAGGCAAATCTAAAAAAAATCGATTACAAATTTCCGTCATCGAACTATGGTATGTTACGTGAGATTGTATCGCATTTCTTCAATTTGTCATGTCTGCAAGTAAAATTGAATAAAAGAGGAGAAAATTCGTGGCTTTGAAGGACTAACTTCAAAAGCAGGACTTTCCAGGGGCTGGGAACCACTTCCACCGTTAGTGTAGAAATAGCCACAGTTTCCGGCAGCTTCTTCGTCAGAAATCTCGTGATATTCATGAGTGCCCACGGGCAAAGAGCTAGGCCCTGAGCCTTGTCGTCCAGGAACCCTCGACTCCGATTTCCCCAACGTTGAAACCCGCCTGTTGTCAATTTTCTTTCCAAAATCCGTCGGCCTGGTCGCTGGCAATGTTCCTCCCCACATCACTTCGCCTAAAATGAAATTATAAAAAAAAGTTGGTAGGAGTCTTTAAGCCCAAGTTACAAAGAAACTGCAATTTATGGATTTCCACAATTCCCGATCAGTCTGCCTATAACTGAACGATCATCACTCCAACTGACCTAACCTATCCTGAAAAAGCCTCAAGTGATTAAAACGTAGCTAATCCTGCGATACTTAGGCCTGATCGGTACGACATCTATATTCTGGAAATGTAAAACGCCAGATACGGAAATTCTAATGTTCGAAGTGAAAAGATTTACCTACATTTTCGAAAAACGGCAAAAAATTTATACAGTACTGGTATACAGCCCTTATTCCCAACCCAAACCACTTTTCAAACGTGTACCAACAACAACATTCTTCATTAAAAACTTTTTTTTAACATGAAAACAGGACGGAAAAAATCTTACCATTAAGAGGTGGTTTTGAGTCGACTGGGGTTCTTGGTGTCAGCAACGGAGCTCTATCAGACGACAAGTCCGACGGCGCCCGCGTAAGCGCACTGGCGGAACAGTCAACCGGCGACGCGGGCGTGGACGGCGGATCAAGCAAAGAACTAGAGCTGGCAAAACCGCCTACGGCGCCTAAGACCGAATGACGACCCGAAATGCTGCCACCGCCGCCGCCACCACCACCACTGCCGTCGTAGTCGTCGATAGTATGTCCACTGCCATTGGCCGTCGGTCGCCTCTCACGCACCGCGTTTCCATCCCCAATCGGACGCCCAGCCGGCAAAACCTGGCGCGGAACGTCCCCGAAAAAGGCGCCGTCGACGCCAACGTGACCAGTGTGTCGCAGGTCGCCCTGCGGACAGCTGATCATTTCTGGTCGCAATTTCCGCTTTGAAGAATAGCCGTTTTTCCCATCTGCAAAGAATTGAAAAATAGGACGACGAATGAAACACGCTGAACAGCATTTGAAGAAAATGTTAATTAATTAGCAAAGAATTATGTCCGGTATAGCTATCCATCCCGAAGTGGTTTCAAAGATTCGAACTGGCAAATTTTTTTTTCCAACGAAGTCGTAAAGGTTGGCGCGGAACGCTCACCTCCTCGATTGAATGAGTGTCTCAAATTGGCGCTAGATGGGACTTTTGTTCCAAGATAGGTAACAGTGTGCACAGCGTTGAATAATCCTGTTTTCCCATTCGCAAGAACACCTTTCCACACACCAGCTGTGTCCGCAGGCTTTTTATCCAAAACCGTGATCACGTCTCGGGCTCGGTAAGGCAACGCGTCTCGCATCGCCATGTCAGGACAATCTTGAATTGCCTCAACCTGTTCCGGTTTACACTTGAAAGAAAAAAATTCAGTTAGAAAGAATAAAGCATCGTAAAAGGATTAGACTAATACCCTTTCATGAGTTCGACCCTTCATTTTCTCTATTGTCTACAGTAATCACAATAACCATAGAGATTCTACCGGTGACGCTCAAGAACGGGAATTTGAAGCGATATACTGTACCGGCAGTAATTATTTTTCCAAACAGATGCAGTCTTATCAAACAGAGAAATTAAAAGAAAAAGAATCAGCTGTGCAAAACGTGATCTCTGATCCCCCAAGAAAACTCTCAGATACTGTAATTTATTCATTCTGAGTTTATAAAAATATTCTGCTGATTCTGTGCTAGGGAATTCTGAACATTGGGAGAAGAACGGAAGAAATCAATCGAAATTTTTTTTTCCGACTTTAAGGCAACATCTATACCTGCTTCTGCCAATCGTCTAAGGTGAAATGATCAATTTTGCAGCAGTTGAAATGAATACTGCTTAAGTTATCCTCATGCGAAAGAAACGAGATCAACACATGTTTACATTAACAGGAGGCAGAGCGAATTCAGGTTAAGGGTGAATTCATAATGGACCTTCAAAACGGAAGTCATGACAAAAAATATATATATACAATATGACACTTCCCATGATCACAGAACAACACGCTAAACGATCTACAATATATTTTTCCCACATTCAAAAAAGGAAACTCCCAAGAAATTGAAGCTAGTACTGCAATGCAATTACCTCAGGCAACAGCGTCAGTAAGTTCTCAAAACTCGGTCTCTTGTTGGCGTCGTGTTGCCAACACTTCATCATCACCGAATAATACTCTCGAGGGCAATGCTCCGGTTGTTCCAGCCTCTGTTGAAAACAAAATTCACAATAAAGAAACTCCGCGGAAAAGATCTAAGCACATCAATGAATCCGAATTAAAAATTCGGAAGTTATTCATGATTTCAAATGCACACACAGAATGTATCACATTTCTGTACACTGCAATTACCATTAAATTTCATAATAAAGATGTAATCTTTCCACCGAAACACACAATATTTATCCAGCCAATTAATAAAAACATTTACGCATAAAAACGTATATAGCACTGAATTCTCAAATGAATGAATAAACCCCGCCCGTAGTTTCATCATACGAAAAGCAATGAGACATACACTTTAATAATAAAATACTGTTATGATAACGCAAGAAAACAAGAGCATTCATGCTCAAGACCCGACAATTTTTGAATACCTGGAAATTCGGGCTATCAATCGCCTCCAGAATTTGCTGGCCAGTAAGAGCAGCCCAAGGTTGGAAGCCATACGAAAACATTTCCCACAAAGTAACTCCGTACGCCCACACGTCTGAGGCGGATGTAAAACGCAGGTAATTTATGCTTTCCGGCGCGCACCTAATCAAAAAAAGCCACAACGTTACGAAAAAAAAATTCCGTTCACTTACACAAAACAAACATCTTACCATGCAATCGGAAGTTTCAAGTTGACGTTGAAATTCGTTTGGTAATAATCTTTCCCGACTCCCAGTGCTCTGCTCAATCCGAAGTCGGAAATTTTCACTTTGTTTTTGGAGAAAACTAAAATGTTCCTCGCAGCCAGATCCCTGTGGGCAAGTCATGAACAATGCAATTAAAAAATTGATCCAGGGGCCACAAAGAAAATTTTCATGAAACGCAGTCTTAGAAAAATTTGCATTTGCACAATAGACCAAAAATAAATTTCAAACGCAAGTCTACGCATTCCTCACCTGTGAATGAGTCGCTTCGACTCGAGGTAAGACATCCCATCGCAGATCTGAATTGCAAAATCGCAAAGGGTTATCACGGTGAATGATGGTCGCAGCGCAGGTTCCTTCAGACATTCAAGCAAAGATCGGAGCGGAGCCAACTCTGTAACCTGGAAATTCAATAATTATGTCGTTAATAGTGTAACAAACCAAAACCACGTGGATTAAAAATAAATAATTAGGACACTCCTGTACTAAATGAAGAAAAAATAAGCTGACTCACCAACATGAGAGCATCTGTATCCAAAACCACACCATAAAGCCGCACTATGTGTTCATGATCGATTCCGTGCATAATGGCTGCCTCTTTGAGAAAATCCAGGGGATTAGCTTGCATTCGTTCTTTGCTCAAACACTTGATGGCCACTTGGATCTGAAAATAGTCATCAACCTCATGAATTTGCATTCAGAAAATTATATTACTGGAATTTAAGAAAAATCGATCTATTGCGTCAATGTCCCCTAGCTCAATCCTTTTTTTTTTTTGAATAACCATCTTTTTCAATTTAAAAAGATTGTTTGAAATTCGGTTAAGGTTTTTTTTTAAAACACTGTACATACCCGGTCGCCTTCCTCGTTCGTCCAAATGCCTTGTTGAACCACGCCGAATTCTCCAGTACCAAGCTCTTTGTTCACAACGATGGCTTCAGCTGGAATAATATGTTTCGAAGGAACCTTCACGGGTGGTCTTTCTTGCCGCGATGGCGGCACAGTACCAACGAGTCCGCTAATATCGTCCCTTTTGGACAACAGCTTCTGTAAATGCAAAACGACGCGAATGTGAAAAAGACGGAATCATACGCAATCAAAAAGTTGAAGTTTGAAGACCCTTCACATGAATTCCAAAGAAATCGAAGAATGGACACATGACGACTTGAATTTGCAGAATGGTAAAAAAGAAAGGAAATCAATCACTATAAAGAACGTTTCCTCAGTTCAGTGAACACATTTCTAATAGTGAGGATGATAAGGATGAAGAAAGATCTTCACCAAGTACAGTACAGATAAATGAAAATTTATATTGGAATGCTTAAGCTGTCGACACCTCTCTTGAGTAGTTGTTTTTTTTTTTCATTGGCATGGCCTTCATAATTCGATATTGCCTGCAGAAAATCCACAGAAAATTGAGTTGTTTTAATTAGCAAGATTTTATAGACTGCATCGTACTTGAGAAGCACCTGAAGTGTCGCTAAAAAGTGTGTGAACTTTTCGGTCTAACCAGCACAGTTGGATTTCCCACATATTCCGAAACAAAATTCTATTACACGAAAACTAAAATCAGCATATTTTTTCAGTTCAAAGGCCTTGCCGAGTGAAATGAAGCGCGTTTTAGAAATAACACATTCCAGTTTCCCATTCGCGTAAATATGGCTAGAAAATAAAAAGAAAACTCGGAAAACGAACCTTGCAGAANATGATTCAACACTTGGTGTCCCAAAGGCTTTGAACATGCGGAACTGTTGGTCGATTTCCGCATCACCACGAAGTAGCGGCTTATTGTTGCTCTGGTTACAAAAAAAGAAAAATGGATTTTACAGCAACGGATTAGGTCGAATCAAGCATTAAAATTGCATTCGGAGAAATAGGGTTTTCTGAGAATATACATTTCAAGTTATTTTGTGAACACTTTTCTTGGAAAGGTAAAAAAATGAATAAATTTCACTGGGGGGTCAGAAAGAAGATGCTCAACTTCTCACCAGTTCCGCAAAAATGCAGCCAGTTGCCCACATGTCCACAGCCGTGGTGTAATACTTGAAATTCAATAAAATTTCTGGCGCTCGATACCACAACGTCACCACTTCGTGCGTGTATGCCTTATTAGGCAGACCCATCTACGCACAAAATCATCGCATTAATTGACGAATTCCGAAAGATTCCACTCAAGCGTAAAACACAAATTACAAACCATTCGGGCGAGTCCGAAGTCCGCGATTTTCAACTTGCCATCACTTGAGACCAATATGTTTTGTGGCTTGAGATCACGATGCACTATTCGACGTACGTGGCAGTACGTGAGTCCTTCACATAACTGACGCATCAAATTCTGCGGAAAAAAAAACCAAAAACATTGAACTCAGATACACAGCTACGAATACATTACGCGGCAAGCAATCGAAATGTAAACATTATTCTCCAGTTACAAAATTTTAAGCGCATCGCGGGTGAGCGTGGTCATCAACCAAATGACTCGTACCATCATCTGAACATCATTCCTCGAATTCGAATTACAACCGAAGTTATCTTCTGGTTTTTGAATGAATCTCGAGCGGAAAACGCGGGTGCGATAACGCACGACAACTGGATAAACAAAATTCAGGTACGACCACGAGGCTTCATTCTATTTACTGCGATATTCTCCGGGCACAAAAACGTATGCTAATCATGGCAGACCTATCGATGTAACAAATCTGCTATAACAAATATTTCCTTAAACGATCTGCCCTAAAATAAACATAAATAAAAGCTGTGAAAATTCTTCAGTTTTATCTTTCGAGTTTTAAAAATATTGCATTTCTTCAGGAGTAAGATGATGTATGATTAGTTCGGGAAAAATTTACCTCTTGAAAAAATGACAAATTTGTGGATACCAGCATGAGTAGTGGCCCGCATACTAGAATAACAGACGTGATTTCGAGAAACACCTTCATTTTCCCATTTAAATCGAGGAATATTTCAGTAAATGCGATATGTTCTGAATTTTGGAAGGGTCTATCCACAGCTGAGATGCCGCAAGTAATAATTCAAGCTAAAAACGTCGCTCATTACCTAATAAATTGGGGGAAAAACGGAATGAAAACTCACTTTGACCATTTGAGGTTCGATACCAGCTGGATGATTCAACAAAAAGGCCCGCAAGTCCATATCCATGTATTCAAAAACCAAATAAAAATCAAATTCGCAAGG